AATTCTGGCTGCTGTCTGGCTGATGATGCTGCCGGTTGTAACGCATCATACACTGGGAGTGTCGTGCTGCCAGCTATGGCTGCAGGTTTTTGTCGTACGTGTTATGTATATCGTTTATTGGTAAATTTAAAATCACAGTTCCCATGATTACTGTTGTTGCATTGTTTTTATAGCTTTATTTTGGTGATTCGAAAACATTTGGTTAATCTAAATTGTCTTATGGTTGTTGTTGTTGTTGGCTTGCACCACATTGATTTTTGCACACAGCGTTTTAGTAAGTTTTTTGTGTGTGTGTGTGGAATATTTGCTGGTTTATTCCAGGATGTTTCTGTTACGCGTTGTCGCTTTAAGATGTTCTGTGTTCAAATTTTGTTTGTTGCAGTTGCACCCGACTTAAGAGCCGCATGGCTCACAGGACTATACCTAATAAATGAAACTTGAAACTTAAACTTGAATTACTGGCGTAACGTCGTGATCAAGATTGTAAATGTTGTGGATGCCAACGGTACAACTAACTGGTCGAAGCACGTGCCGACATTGGGAATATTTAATTTTAGTAAATGTGACCGACTGACAGCAGCATTGTAAATGTTGTGGATTTGCTCTCCAACACAACCGGTGTGTTGCTATACTGGTAACTAATTGGCCACGTTCTGTTTACGTGGCAAACCCTTCCCAATTGGCTGTGTCGGGTGGTGGCGGGTTTAACGACACAGTATATTTACGCGATCTAACCCAAAAAACCTCCTCTATGATGGAAAAACTAAACTATTTTATTTTTCCAACAGGCAAGGCCCACTGAGCTGTGAATCTCTTTTTCTCAGAAGCCACGTGACTATCACAAATGACTGCTCAACGAAGTGGCTTCTGATTGTGCGGACATTCATAGAAGACAAATACTCTGAAGTCTAAACGCGTGGATGTTGATTCGATATGTCGAGGGGAAACCCACGGGAGAGAAAGACACCGCAGATATACAGCAGCAGCAGCAAGGTCTGGATCGAGCCCACGACCTCCTTGCATACCAGGCGAGGTAGAGCTCATGTATGTATGTATGTTGAACTTCTTTCACACCTGACCTTCTTGGGGAGCGGTATAGTGTAGCGGTAATCGCGCGCTGCTCCACCAACCCGGCGACCCGGGTTCGATGCCCGCTCACGGCCAGCATCAGTGACGATTATCTCAACCGGTCCCGGGCCTCCCCTAGGTTGACTCAGTCTCACTTGAGTACCTGGTGCGGTGTGTAAACACCGCCACTGGGGAGACAAAGGCGGCCGGGCTTGGTGCTGGCCACCCACCGCTTCGTGTGTTGTTCATGTTTTTGTTTGTTGCGGTTGCACCCGATTCAAGAACCGAATGGCTCACAGGGCTATACCAAAATAAATGAAACTATGAACTATGAGCTTATGGGAGCGGATCATTTTAGCAGCGTTGATTTCAAGACACGCAAAATAGTTTTGGCATTCTGCGTCTCATCAGCAGTCCAGGCGCTCCGCTCGTTGTTGTGAGCGTCCCTCCTCTTCCCCTCTGCTGGTTGCTGGAGGGCGACTGCCACCTACCGGCCAGTTGCGTCCTTCACGAGCCCCAACAAAGACTTCACTCGATTTGAAGCTTTCGTGACTGCAGGGATTATTATTACTCTTTGGTTCTTTTCGGTGAAGTCGCGTAGAAAGAAAATACATTAAATAATAGAGTACGACGTTTCGATTGCGACACAAGCAGCCGTCATCAGGTAGAACTAAATGTTTAGAGAGAGAGACAAAACACAGACATGGAGACACACAGACAGACACACAAGCAGAGAGAGACAACACAGAGACACACAGAGAGAGGCACACAACATAGACACACAGACACACAAGCAGAGAGAGACAACACAGAGACACACAGAGAGAGACCCACAACATAGACACACAGAGACAACACACAAACACACAGAGACAACACAGCGACACACAGACAAACAAGCAGAGAGACAACACAGAGACACACAGACAGACACAAGCAGAGAGAGACAACAGAGACACACAGGGAGAGACACACAACATAGACACACAGAGACAACACAGAGACACACAGAGACAACACAGAGACACACAGACAGACACAAGCAGAGAGACAACACAGAGACACAGAGAGAGACGCACAACATAGACACAGAGACAACACAGAGACACACAGAGACAACACAGAGACACACAGGTAGACACAAGCAGAGAGACAACACAGAGACACACAGAGAGAGACACAACATAGACACACAGAGACACACAGAGACAACACAGAGACACAGAGAGAGACACACAACATAGACACACAGAGACAACACAGAGACACACAGAGACAACACAGAGACACACAGACAGACACAAGCAGAGAGACAACACAGAGACACACAGAGAGAGACGCACAACATAGACACAGAGACACACAGAGACAACACAGAGACACACAGGTAGACACAAGCAGAGAGACAACACAGAGACACACAGAGAGAGACACACAACATAGACACACAGAGACCACACAGAGACACACAGAGACAACACAGAGACACAGAGAGAGACACACAACATAGACACACAGAGACCCAATGCCTCTGCTGGGATAGCTGCTGGAGCAGATGAATTAGCATGTCAATGAATCCACTCCGAAGCTACCGAGGGAAAGAAGAAGGTCGAATGGCCCTTTGAGAGGCTGGTAAATTTTTTAGAGAGAGAAATAGTTTGAGAAAACAAAATGTAGCAAATCTTTTGCAAATGTAATGCAACACAGAAAGTCGGCTAACACACAGTTAACGCATAGATTGGCTGATTACGATCTCCAAAGATTGCTAAAATTAGAAGTTAAGTGCTGTTTGCGAGCACCTATGAAGGTCGGCACGGCACACGAAGCGGTGGGTGGCCAGCACCAAGCCCGGCCGCCTTTGTCTCTCCAGTGGCGATGTTTACACACCGCACCAGGTACTCGTTTGAGGCTGAGTCGACCTAGGGGAGGCCCAGGACCGGTTCATAAAATCGCCACCGGTGTTGGCCGTGAGCGGGAATCGAACCCGGGTCGCTGGGTTCACAGCGCAGCGTAGCGCTAACCGCTACACTACCGCTCCCCACACTGACACATCCCAATAGGCACTGCCTATGTAAGGGCTATCCCGTGAGACTGCACGTAAGCCCGGCTAGCTCAGTCGGTAGAGCATGAGACTCTTAATCTCAGGGTCGTGGGTTCGAGCCCCACGTTGGGCGCTGGAATTTTTTAAATTTTTAATCACAGGTGAAATCAAAAGCATTAATAATTCGAAGGATGTATGGCCACCAATGCATGCATTTAAACAAAGGACGTGAACAATGTTTATACATTTTTTACTTCATTGTAAATGTTGTACTGGTGGTACAGTTGCTTGTGAACAGGCGTGGTATGGTGCACTATTGCCCCCTACTGGAGTGGTGCCTGCACTGCAGTAACAAAATCAAAGTTCCTGCTCCAACGAGCATTACAGTTGTGGCCCATCTCCGATTCACAGCCTTGAGTCAGGCATGGAAATTACACATTACTATGGCGAATCTCCCAGAGGACAATCACTATCCTTCTGTCGTATGGCTGATGTAGATGCAGAGCAACAACTACAATTTCAAGTTCAGGTGAAGCCAGAAAACTACGTCAGGAGCAGCTGTGAAGTCTCCTTCGTATTGGTGGATCTGCCATTGCGTCGTCATACGTTGTGCTACGGTCTGTTCTGGATGACCACAGTCGCACACTGCAGCGTTTTAATTTTTCATTTGTGCATCAGATGTCGACATCTACTGCCATGGTTTGTGCAGTGGATGTGGTTTATGGTGGACCATGAGCTTCGTGGAAGATCGAACCCAGGGATCTTCTGCGTTGTGTCTTTCACAAGGTGGCGTTTGTGACTTTTTTTGAACTCCATTCAGCTCTCCAAGCTTCATCCGGGTTGAACTCACATTGATGAAAGGGCTTGGCGTGACTTCAAGAGATGACGAGGAACGTTATCAAGGTCCCGGTGAATGTGAAAGTGGCTGATGAGGTGCTCGCTAACTACTATTGATTTCCCCACAAATTGATACTCATCTTATTGACCACCGAAAGATGTTGGGCTATGACCATACTTAAACCGACAGAACCTTGGCAAGCAAATTCCTTCATATTAACCTACACCCCTTCCTCAATCCACTGCTGGCTGAAGGCCTTCCTGTGCTGTCATTGGTGGGCGTTGTTTGACATACTTCACCACAAAGAGAAGAGACCCATCCCCAGCAGTGTCAGCAGTGGCCAGGTTCACAACGCAACACATGACCCACTAAGTCACCGACTGCAACAGATCAGGCTCACGATGCATGCACACAGTAATGCATGAAGAAATCGATCCCCATCTGGAACTCAAGTTCAAGAAAATAAGTACATTTGGTAGTCGAGCCAATCGGAATTATTTTGCAGGTAAATTTATAATTCGAACAACGAAACTGGCACACAATGGCCTACTCTTTTTGAATCGTCGCGGGACGCATAACATCTCCTGTGAAGCAGATGGCGGGAGCATATTGTATGGTTAACACACCGGCAGTACGAACTAGAACGGGCTGCCGGATTTAAACCGCAAACCTCTGAAAAAAAGCAACACTATCACTTGGCATACGTCACCACCTGCAGAGGTGTCGATGGGAATTAATTTCCTGAAGCCCCGGCACGCTGGAGAAAAACCGTTGGGACGAGGTGCCGAACAACGCGTAGCGGCACAACAAAAATCGGAAAACTAGCGGCACAACAAAAATCGGAAAACTGTACAGCACCTCCGATTTAGACGGTTAGCTGCGTACGGTGCGAAAGAAGTTCAACATAAATACATAGAGCTCAAACGCAAAACAACATTCGTAGAAGTTTTACACCATTCTAGATTCCCATAGCTACGACTGGAACGATTCATTCTCTGGGTAATACCATAATAATGGTTCAAAGACAACATAATGGGCTCGACAACAGCAAGATACACGTGTATATGTTTTTATTTTATAAAACATACTTCAAATGCAGAAGATCCCACACTTGCACTTGTCGTTTGAGAACGATATCTTTTTACAATTTACAGAGGAACACGGTGAAGCGGCGGACACTTAAGAGAGCCAAAAATGGTACTCGGGAGACACCGAGGCATGAGCGCTTAGCAGCACCCACTTTGCTAATGAGCCAAGAGGTTGCCGAGTGACTGTGGTAAAAGCCAGCGCTACAACTTTAGGGTGCAGATAAAAAATGTTCCTTTTGAAATAAAAACCAAATTCAAGCAATATCTCCAGCTCAAGATAGTATCAATAAACAATTATTATAGAATGGTTGTAGCCCATGCCAAAATGACCTGGCCTGCACCCGATTGCCAGACCTTGGATGCTCAACTCAACTTTTTATTTTACCAGATGAGGCCCACCGAGCTATTAAGCTCTTTTCAGAAGCGACCTAGCCACAAATGATAACTCAACTAAGTGGCTTAACGCGTTCAAATTTACAGCAGCCAAATACTCTAAATGCATGTTTCTAAATGTCGAGAGAAAAACCGGAGGTCTGGAAAAAAAATCCACACGACCATGGGGAGAACATGCAAACTCCAAATATAAAGGCGTCAGGGTCGGGAACAAACCCACGACCTCCTGTATACCAGACCAGGAAATTAACATCTCACCATCGCAGCGAGATGCCCCTGCTAAGCAGGAAAAATCCTGGTTAGTGCCTGGAGTGTGCTTCAATGGGTGACCAGTTTACGTGGCCGGTTGTCATAGGCGAGTGTGTTACGGTGCCGACAGGAGAGGCCAATGCAGGGTTTTATAAGCGTTTAAATGCGACATCTGAAGACGCTCCCCAGAAACATGCAACATTTCATAGATACCGCCAGTCGCAGGTCTCCATTCGAGATCGAGGACCTTCGTGTGGAGCCTATGCACCGTTGTGCGAGTCAGCACAACACGTGTATTTACATCGCGATAAAATGTGACCACGTATAAAGACGCAGTACACACATGGTGGGCATATTTATTTCATGGAGAGAATGAGGCCGCCAAGCACAGGCAGAAGGGACAGAAATATCTGGGGCCTGGACGTGAACCCAGGCAGGGTGTCGGCAGCACGCACGGCTGAAGCTCAAGGGAAGGGAGTCCCGCGCTGAATGAAACCGCAGTTGAGAGGAGGAGTCATCGGATGCGTTTGTGGCGGCTCAGCTTGTTGACGCGCCACATGTGCTGCTTCCGCAGCAGTCGGAAATACTCCATCGAGTCAGGCTCCACCTCCTCCAGCGTCAACGGGGGTCCCACATTCAGCTCAAACAGCCTTGCATGGACAGGTGGTACAGGGGGGAAAAAACCACACGCAAGTGCGTGGATTGAGTAACGCTTTCCGACACGCGCTTGTCTGCAGAAGTGCTGAATCAGCAATAGTAGAGGTGAAGAACCAACATGTTAAACTTGTTTTTTTCCCATTCTCCCATTCTGATGACATACGTGTACGTCCGTGTACCTCATCGGAACGGAATCGGAAGAAAAACAGAAAAAATAACTTTATCGGTACATCTTCAGGTCGGAAGACGTACCGGGGCTCCCACAAGGCCATGCGGAAAGGCATGTGGCACAGTTTGGTGCTAGCTATCATAGAGTGCGGTTGTGTCGCTACAGTTCTCTGTGGTGAGTACAGTAAAATGTCAATTAGATGCCTCTAAATAAAATGAACAAGAACCGCGTACACGTTCTGAGCTTCAGTGGTGAATGGTAAGGGTAAATTCTGCTCAATTCCAGCTGATATTTTTTTTTCCTTTATGATATTAATTTTGACTGTCATGACCAAAGACAGTTTCCCATCCAAAGAGTAAACCAGGCTTATCCCTGCTTAGTTTGAGATATGACCAGATTGGGGTTATTTGCTCATTCAGATACAGCAATGACTAAAGAGTTCGGCATTACACTTCGGTAAGCGTTTGGATTAACGCTTGCGTCACAGGTAATGGGAAAGGGTAATAAGGACTCAAGTTGGAGGTCTGTGAATAAACCCCCATCCACCCTGTCAACTCATCACCCTGTATTCTAGTCCACAAATCACCCCGTCCATTCATCACCCTATTTTAAATTTCACCAGCGACCTTGTAAACAAACGCCCCCCCCCCCATCCGACCAATATTCCCCGAACCTCTGATTAGGACGGTTGGCTACGTTCGGTGAAAAAGAAGTAAAAAAAATACATGCATACATACAGGAGCAACACTACCTATTTCAACGGGGGGGGGGGGGGCTAAGCAAGATACGACTATGCCCCCCCTCCTTTCTCCCGATTCTCTTTTACTGAAATAGCTATGGATGTTTGTTAAACCGTATACACAATGTAGGCTATAACAATTATTGTTCTCATATTTTTTTTACATAGTAGAACCCCTCTTAACGACGGTAATCGGTTCCACAAAACCGGTCGTTAAGTGATTTGGTCGTTAAGCGAGTACAGGAAATACAAGTTAAAGGCTTAATTCGTCCCGATAGCATCGAAAGTAAAAACTTTCAACCAAAAAACGCACTTTATAATATTTAAACAATGGATATTAATACATAAAGACACTAACAACATTATAAACACAGTATTAAAATAAACGCGGTTAATCAATGTATTAATATTTAATGTACCAACAACAGCCCATCGTTAACAGGGGAATGGTCGGTAAGCGAACACATTGGGCTCTATGGAGGCACTACACCACTACACTATACACTACTATACATTACACTACACTATACACTACTATACACCACTATACACTACACTACTATACACTGCACATTGGGCTCTATGGAGACACTACACTATACACTGCACTACTATACACTACACTATACACTACACTACTATACACTGCACTACACATTGGGCTCTATGGAGGCACTACACTATACACTACACTACTATACAATGCGCTACACATTGTGCTCTATGGAGGCACTACACTATATACTACACTACTATACAATGCACTACACATTGTGCTCTATGGAGGCACTACACTATACACCACACTACACATTGTGCTCTATGGAGGCACGCCGTTTATCGATTAGTCGTTAACAGGGTTGCTCTTTAAGAAATATTCTACTTTAGTTTTTCTTTCAAAAAAATGTCCCTGCTTATCTGTCGATTCGGGCGGCCCCACTGTGGTCGACCGGGGCCCCTACGCGTCGCATTACGCTGCGCAACCCCTAAACCCCTAAACCCCAGAGTTGCGCCCGTGCACACACACCAGGGCGGGTACTCAGAGTCGGAACGCAGCGGGGGATCGCTGCCCTCGCGGAGGAAGTTGAGGCCCACGCAGTGAGAGACGAGGACCTCGGGGTCGCGGCTCAACTCCGGGTCCATGAGCACTTCCTTCACCATGGCCTTGCCCTTCGCCTTGAACGCTGCGCATGGCGGGGCGGGGGGGGGACGTGGTTATTGGTGCAGGCTGTGGTATCTACGAACATTTACATAGCACGCGTACACGCAAGGCTTTATGTACGCAAGATTAAAACACGAACGCTATGCACAGATTTGTAACGCGTGAAACACAACGATGGGTGTGGATCTTCGTCCTTGTGTCTTTCTCTCGTGCTTCCTTTTGCCGTTTCAATTCGCACGACCCGGTGTTTCACTGCACGTACACCGCCAACATCGCACTGCATCCCTCCTCGTGTGCGGGTGTCTCCGCGTTTACCGCCGCATCCTCGCCTCCTGTAGTGTCTCGTGTCACCCACACAGCCACGTCCGTCGGGGTAGACGAAGAAAGCTTTCTCGTCTCCCCATACTTCTATGCACATTCACACAGCTCCCCATACTTCCTTGTCTCCCCATGTCCCCGTTTCTCCCCACGTACCCCTGCCTCTCCTGTCCCCGTGTCTCCCGACGTCCCCCTGTGTCCCCCTGTGTCCCACAGTGTCCCCTGTCTCCCCTGTCTCCCCACGTCCCCCAGCGTGTCCGCTCACCCGGCTTCTTGGCGTAACCTCGGCTGGCAGGGGGGGCCGGCGGCAGCAGGGGCTGTAGGCCGGGACCCACGAGGCCCGCGAATCCTCTGAGCCCCACCGACGGCCTGAGGCCCCCTCCTACGGCGGGCGCGCCGCGCGCCAAGGTCGCGGGTAGCAGCAGCAAAAGCCTCCTCACACCGCACGCCGCCATGGCTACCACACGTGCCCCGTGACCTCTCAACCCGCAAACTCTGACCCCTCCCTCGATAGGACCCGCGCTGATTGGTCGAGAGAGAAAGACATGGGGTGGGTGGAGCAAAGGCGGGGGGCGGGGCTAGGGGCGGGGCTTGGGTGGTGATGTACCTGCTGGGCGTGGCCACGTCCAACTTCCTCCGAGGGGAAATCCGTAGCGCTGTAAAGCTCTTTTGTTTCCCTCACAGATGTCCAGTAGTTCAGTTTCAGTTTATTTATTTTGGTATAGCCCTGTGAGCCATTCGGCTCTTGAATCGGGTGCAACCACAACAAACAAAAAAACAAAAACACGAACAAGGAAAACATCTTAAAGTGACTGTGTGTGACTGCACAAACATGAAAAAAACATCAAAATATTCCTGAAAAAAGCACCGCACACCAACGCTGTGTGCAAAAAATCCCAGTGGGATGCAAGTCAAACAACAACAACCACAAGAAAACTTAAATTAAGGCCATCAGTCTAACTCCGTACTACAACAAAGCAAACATGTCCAATCAAAAACTTTTCGAAATCACCAAAGTAAATCCATAAATGCAATGTAACAGTGATTATAGGGACTGTGACCGAATTTTTACAATAAACTACATAAATAACATGTAACATTAAATCCTAGAGCCATAGCTGGCTGCATGAGTTACTCCACAACAACAGAAGCATCGGTCGGAGTATCAAATTTTTCAATGCACCTTTAAGATCAGCACACTAAATCAAAATACAGATAATACTTTGCAGCGTCATCCGGAGCGAAACATTTTATTTTACGCCAATAAATAGCAGTGGCAGCTAGGGGTGTACAACTCCTCTAGAGCAGTTTTGAGAGAATATCTCATTGGTAGCAATTCAAGTTGCAGTTTATTGGCAATAGCATTCCAGACCCTGGGGGCATCAATAGCAAAGGCCCTTCCTAAAGTTTTTGTACGGCAATAGGGAATGTGAAGCTGGTAAATGAGCGAAAACCTGAGGTCAAATTTGTTCTTTGAAACAGAGAGGAGATCCAGCAGGTAGTCTGCGGATTTTTTTGTAAGTACATCGTGAATAAATAAGATCTGGTGCACAAGCCGTCGAACATTAAGAGATTTTAAGTTTGACCCCATGTAGAGATCACAGTGGTGAGTGATAGATGGAATCAAGTTTCTTCAGTACAGTACTTGGGGCTGATTTATACACGATGTCACAGTAGTCAAGTAGAGGCAGTATGGTAGCTTTTATCAATTCCAAACGGAACATTGGGGGGAAGCAGTGCTTGTGTAGATACAGAAAACCAATTTTTATTTTTGTCTTTTTACCAATATAATCAATGTGATCTTCTAAATTCAGTTTTGAATCCAGGATGACCCCAAGATACTTATAGATATTGACTTGCTCGATTTGATAATTATTTAAGGAATGTAATTGGGGAAAAATAACTTCCTGCTTTAGTCCTTGTGAGAAGCATAGCACCTTGGTTTTGGAGGTATTCAGGACTAGTTTAAGAGCAACTAGCTGATGTTGTAGTTTGTTGAAATCACCCTGTAGCTTAGCAATCACGTCATCCGGAGAGCGGCCATCAGTAATCAGTATCGTGTCATCTGCAAAAAGATTTACCCTGGAATGATCCAGGTCAATGCCCAAGTCATTGACATGAAGAGAGAACAAGAGGGGGCCGAGGATGGAACCCTGTGGAACCCCTTTTGTTATCTTAACACTGTTTGACCTCCAACGATCTGTGAATACAGTTTGGGTGCGAGAAAAGAGGTAATTTTGTAACCATTTTACTGCGTTTTCGGAAAAACCGAGGCAACTTAGTTTACTAAGCAAGGTGTTGTGGTCTACTGTATCAAAAGCTTTAGACAGGTCTAGAAAAAGACAGGCACAGTACTGCTTATTATCAAGGCTACTGTAAATGTGATTCAGAGAGTCTACTGCAGCAGATGTGGTGCTGCATTTTTTTCGGGACCCAGATTGTTTTAGATGTAGTAGATTGTTGGTGGACAGGAAACTGCTCATTTGGTAGGTCAATAATTTTTCAAAAATATTCATCAACGGGGACAAAATTGAGATAGATCGGTAGTTATTTGGATCATCTTTAGGGCCCCCTTTGTGAAGTGGACGGACATAGGAATGTTTCCATTCTAGAGGAACTGATGCTTCTTTGATAGACAGGTTGAAAATATGGGCTATAGGTTTGTATATTAAATGACCAACAGTTAGTAGAGCAAAGACGGGAATACTATCTGCTCTGGTAGAGGAGGAGCCTTTGAGGTAGGACAGTTGTTTCAGAACATTACTTTCGTGGATTGGCTGGAAACTAAATTCGTTTAATGTTTGGACAGGGGTGTAGGAATTTGCATGAGCAGGGGTGACTCGCAATACATTATCAAAAATATTACCAGCTTCAGAAAAATGAAGGTTAAAATTGTCAACAATTTTTTTGGGATCTGAAAAATATTCCCCATTTCGGTTAAGCTCGGTGGGCAGATTGTCTGTTTTGGATGCCTTTTCGATACATTTGATTGTTTTCCAGAAAATCCTGGCATTTCCATGTGATTCCAGGAGAGTGGAGGAAAGTATGCATTTTTTGCATGCCGTATTTTTTTGATGCATCTATTCCTTAAAATCCTGTATTCTAGCCAGTCATTGGCCAAATTACTTTTCTGAGCACATGCCCAAGCCTTGTCCCTAGTTTTCATGAGCTTTGTAATCAAAGGATCAAACCATGGTGGGAGGTTGCCTTTAGTTTTAAATCTAACCAACGGAGCATGTTTGTTAAGAATTTGGAGAAACGTGTACCTGAAGGTCTCCCAAGCCGTAGTCAGGTTGGGGATATCACAGACCTCGTCAATATCCGAGTGAAGCACATCATTAGTAAATGCCTGAGTGCTGAAGTGTCTCATAGAGTGCTTCTCAACCAATTTAGGGGGGGCTTTGGGTCTGGCTGATGATCTCACCCCAAAAATGAAGGAGTGATCACTAAGGTTATTACCAAGAACACCAGTCAGTGTGAAATTGTGAGGGGCATTTGTCAATATGTTGGGTCTTGTGGGGACATTTATTAATTGAAACAGATTAAATTCATCTGCAAAATTTGTGGCTACGGCCGGCGGGTTTAGACAATTCCAATTTAGATCACCCACTAAAACTATTTCACCTTTAGGGAGGCCCCCAAAAAGCTCTCTCAGTGTAGGTGCAGCTTCAACATCCTTCCCACTAGGCGGTCGATAGCAGCACACTACCAATATCTCTTGATTATTTGGGAGAGTTATTTTGAGAGCCAGACCTTCAAAGCAACATTTTTTAAACAAGGAGTGAGCTAGTGAACATGCAATAGTATTATGAACATAGATGGCAATTCCACCTCCTTTAGATCCTCGGTCAAGCCGAAAAAGGTTGTAGTTGTCAATCGCAATCTGCAAGGCATTGACGGCAGGAGTGGACGCAAAGTAACGAGGGTAGCCGTTTGTAGAGTTGAGTGTGGCACTAGATAGGACCGGGAGGGACAGCAGTCGGATACACAGCAGGATAATTGCCATCTCTAAAATATCCGGGGTCAACACGGATTAACACACAAGCGGAAAAGAAAAAAAAATATATACTTGTAGGCCGAGCGTGAGAAAACGTCTTGCCGCACTCGTCACACATGCACGGCTTCTCGCCCACGTGCTAGGGTGGAACAGCGCCCCCCCCCCCCCCAGACAGGGACAGCAGATGTTTGGCTGTTGTGGGCTCGGCTGAACCGCTTGCACCACCTCCTTTCCCCGCCGCAGGATGGTGCTCGAGCTAGCCATCCTTGAGCTCAGCCCACGACTGGAATGTCGTTTCTTGGCCTCTCGTGTCTCTGCTGCCCGACCAGACGGCCACACTGAAGCCCCCCACACAAGGGACTCTTCATTCACGATCCTTGGCCGTCTTGACGATCTCCGTGAAGTTTTCTAAGAACACAGCTTGGGGTCCGTCGCAATGTTGCCTTGGCAGGAACACAGCTTGGGGTCAGAACGCGACAGCAAGAAGTGATTCAAAAACACGATCGGAGTGCAAAGTATAGGGAAAGTAAAATAAATCACTAAAAAACATATACAAATAAAATTCAACAATTTTTTCCTTCAACTGACCAGGGTAAGCCGACTGAGCTATTATCTTCTTTCTTAGAAGCGATTTGACTATCACAAATGATAGCTCAACGCGACGTGGCTTATCGCGTGGAAATATATAGCGGCAAAACAAACGAAATACAATCTAAATAATCTCGACACGTGATTATTTAGAGTATGCGCTATGAAGAAGGACCATTGCCCGAAACGTCGGCCATCACGTATGTTTTTCTTTCGAGGCCACACACAGACACGCACGGGTGTTGTTATTGACGCATGTGTTGAGTTGTTGTGCATTGTGCTTGCCGTCGCAGCAGCATCATCATCATCATCACCCGCAGCACTACGTGTTGTGTATCATGTCTTATCGCCATGATACCGTATTGTGGTTCAAGATCCGCAAGGTATTATGATGGTATTCTATCTACGTGACTTTACCAAAAGAACCAAATAATTCCTGCAGTCACGAAAGCTTTAGGTGGGGAACGTCCGGCCCGCGGGCCGTATGAGGCTCGCAAAATCATTTGTCAGTTCCAGCCATCACATTAGGGGTGAGTTAATTAAATGTTTGACCAAATATAACAGGCTAATCTTTAAGTTGACGCTTTTGTATGGCCCGCGAATGATGTCATTACTGGCCCTTGGCAGACAAAAGGTTCCGCACAGCTCAACACGTAGTGCTGGGGGTGATGATGATGATGCTGCTTTAGAAATGCGTTTTGTGTTTAATTTGGTTGTCCTTCCCCCGCACCTCCGATTAGTGCGGTTGGCCATGTACGGTAACGAAAGAAGTTCAACCAAATACATAAACCACGGTCGTACTGTGGCCCGTGTTAATGGGGTGGTGGTGGTGGGGGTTCTATGTGACTGCATGGGCACCCACAAGGGCGATGTCACGACAGAGTAACGCGTAGGCGCCACGGCTCTCCGCCTGTGGACGCAGAAAGC